AAAACTGTAAATTCTTTCATCTTTAATAAAATGATCAGTGCTGCTCTGTCAGGTGTAACAATGAAGTTTAACATGAGACATCCATGAAAACAGGTTAATAAATGCAGAGTAGTTTGGACCTGGAAGCAGGTTCATCACCCAATCACTTAAAGACCTGATATAGTGCTTTTCTACACTCAACGTGCTTTATACAACACGTCTCATTCACACTTACTCATACAGGTTTGCATACACCACTCTATGCTTAATGGCTTTCTATCTGACATTCACACGTTTCAGACTCTGATGGACACGTTGGAGAGGAACTTGTATGCAGACTGGAGCAGCCAAACCTTCTGATTAATATGCTGTAACTCCTGAATTACAGCTGCCTCAATAAGTCAACTGTAGAACTCGACTTCCTGTTTTTATACTAATGACTGAAGAGTACTCTGGACTCAAGGCTGTGAAACAGCAGGTACCTTCAAATGAGATGTCACAGGCTATGTTCAGACGATTTCTATCAACGATTTATTTCATGAACTAAATGATAAATGGTTTGTTTTCTTTGTGTGATCTGATCTGTGCGTTATTCCCAACCTGAAAAACGATGACGAAGGCGAGACGAGCTGCTAGGATGGCCCAGAATTCCTTGGAAAGTTCATATTTCGTGCTGGACCAGGGAGCATCTCTGTAGTCCTTGTATCTAGAAAACAAAAAAGCATTTTTACATAAAGTTTATTCAAACTGTTGTTGTGCTTTTATAATAGATAAATGAGAAATGTGAATATGTTTGGATATATTGAGTATTCATTATATGGATATCGTCTGATGACTTTAGCAGCCTCAGGTTCATGACCCTAAAGCAAAACCTTACCTGCACACTGACACCTTGTAGCCCAGGTGCATTGGCTGCAGAGGTTCTGTGCCTGGATCGAAGTCGGTGACATTAAAGTATGACAAAGTGTGATTGACAAAGCCGTGCAAGGTGCCGTCAGGACTGTACACGTGTTGGTAGACAAGCCGAGGGATGAAGTCAGAGGTGAACGCGATGACAAAGGCCTGCAAGACAAAAAGTTCAATTCAGTTTCTTTATGTAGCAGCAACTCAAAACAACAACAATCATATGAACCCTTACAAGAAAACATTTTGGTGACAGTGGGAAGTAAGAACTTTCTTTAACAAAAAAATAACAAGCTCAGGCAGGAGTCGCCACCTGTGAGGGGAGGAAGACAAGACGAAGACATGCTGTGGAAGAGAGCCAGAGATTAATAATAACTAATGATTGAAAGCAGAAAGGTGACTGAAGAAGAAACACCCAGTGCATCATGGGAATCTCTCAGCAGCCTAGACCCACTGCAGAGTAACTAAGGGAGGATTCAGGGTCACCTGGTCCAGCCCTAACTATATGCTTTAGCAAAAGGAAAGTTTGAAGCCTAATCTTGAAAGTAGAGATAGTGTCTGTCTCCTGAATCCAAACTGGAAGCTGCTGTGATGAGCTCTGAAACCTGACTGAAACTCTTCAAATAAACCATTCCTCTGCAGATGATCTGTTAGCTGTTTGACAACTACTCTTTCAAGGAT